ATTGTGTAGCTATTAGTTAACAGTTACAATCTAACGCCTACAGTTCCTCGTCACTTTTATTGATATCTCACAATGACATCTGGGCAGCTCTGTCTACGAAGGATGATGATAAAAAGCTCTCCATGTCCTCAGACTGACTGAAGAATCATAGACTGTACATAAAAGATGGATGTAGTCGTCCAAAACAGGAATCCAGTGAAGATGTGTCTTAACCCTGCAGTCGTTATAACAACCAAAGAAATCTGTGGATAAATTACTCCAATTCTAACTTGACCTCATTAACTTCATTCCTGGTTAGTTTATGGTCTGAATCGCTACTTTTAAGTACTTTGTTTTTATTATTGCAATGATTGCACATGCGTTTTTTGTTAATGTTTTGTTAGATCGAGGAGGAGATGCTGTCCCTGCAGAACGAGCGCTCCGAGCGTATCCGCACCCTCCTGGAACGGCAGGCCAGCGAGATCGAGGCGTTTGATGCAGAGAGCCTACGTCTGGGTTTTAGCAACATGGCGCTGACCGGCATTCCCAGCGAAGCCTACCCCAAGCAGGGCTACTCCAACGTGCCGCCCTCCAGCTCCCGCTCAGCTGGCCACTGGAGTCACGGCATCCACCCGCAGAACGTGCCCTCGCAGCAGCTCTCCCGCCGCAGCCACAACAGCAGCGGCGGCGGGGATCGCAGGGGCGAGTCCTCCTCTTCCTCGCACGGCCTGGGCATGGCCCTTGGGCTGGGCCGGGAGGGGAGGGAGATGCACCACTCGTCGCGCTCTTCCGCCTCTTCTTCCTCCTCCTCCTCCTCCTCGTCTTCCTCCCACCACCAGCGACACCACCTACCCCAGCACTACCACCACCAGAGCACGCCACAGCTCTACCGTGAGCGGGAGAGGGATCGAGATAGGGAGCGGGAGAAGGAGAGGGAGCGGGAGTGGGCCGGAGTGCGGGGCTCCGGCGGCGACCTGGCCCACCCACACCCCCTGCCCTTCTCCCATCACCTGCCCTCGCGCTCCTCCTCTCAGTCCCTGGCGATGCTGCCTCCCCCGCCCCCTGCCCCTCCCTCCATCTCCGGGCCGTCCTCCTCCTCTTCTTCTTCCTCCTCCTCGCAGGGGGGGATTTATGTCGGAGGTGGAGGCGGCGGTGGCAGCGGGCTGGCCGTGCGCGGCGCCCCCAGCCTGATGGCCCTGAGAAACAGCCCCCAACCTCTGAGGAGAACGGCGTCCGGCGGGGGGCCAGGAGGTGCTGGGGGTAGCGACGGCGTCCTGAGCCGAAGCACCTCAGTCACTTCGCACATCTCCAACGGCTCCCACCTCTCCTACTCTTAGACAGCAGGCGTTAAAACAGCAGAGAGCCCGATAGGAAGAAGGGTGGGAGTGATTTAGGAAGGTAGCTATCACAGGCTGCATCTCAATACTCTCAGCTTGCCACCTTTCTTTCTTTCCTTCCTGGGCTGATCTCAATTCTAAACTCTTAACACAAAGGATTTCTAAACGCACAGAAGGTCAAAGAGATCAGAAGCAAAGAAAGGACAAACTGACATTATTGAGCTGCACCCTGCCTCTTTAGACTCAGGGTGGGTGGAGAGGTTTCCTTCCATTCCCACAAGTATCAAAGAGGAAGGGAGGGAGGAATGTAACCACCTGTAAAATCATTGGATTAGGGTGACATTAGGTAAAAAAAAAAAAAAAAAAAAGACACTTCTGTTTAATGTTTTTATCTTTGTATAAAAGTGAGATAAGGTGTGTGAAAGAGGGGACGATTAGCAATTTTTTCCCTGTATGTGTCCTCCTGGAACTGCACAGAGAGAGAGAGGGGATGGCAGCCATGTCTTCTTCTATGATATTCTTTGCTGGAATGGAGAAAGAGCGAGGACGAGGGAGGAAACGAGGGTGATGTTTTGTTGCTTGTGTGTGTACTCGTATGTAGTTCGTAGTAGTCCAGATATTATCCAGCAAGAGCCCATAAACTGGACGCGCCGAATGGGCAGAATGCAAGAAGAAAAATAAGGTGTGGGGGGGGGGGGGATACTCTAATATCCAGACTTCTGGAGTTTGGAAAAACATTTTTTTATTGCTTTAAACGTTTACTTTTTTTGTTAATTTCGCTCTTTTTTTGTATTGTGTATTTAAAAGAAAAACCACACACGTAAAAAAGTTGCTCAGAACGTCACCAATGCCTTTAAGGGGTTCTTAAAGGGATGTCGTGCCATCTGAATTTTTTTTTTTAATTTGACGGCTGTGAGGTGATTCAAAGCCGAATACAAATAACACGGAATGTTTGTAAAGTTAAGAGACTCTTCTTCAAAAAAAACAAAACAAAAAGAGATAAAAGAAAAAGGAAAAATGGGATGAGGAAAAATCTTTATGTGGAAATGTACAAATACATATGGAGAGAGGGGGGAAAAACACATAGCTTTCTGGCATCCATGACGTATTGAGTATCTAAACAACATAGGTGTCTATGGGAGTCACTCCAATTGCATGAGATAGATGTGCAAAAAAGAAAAAAGAAAAAAAAACATTTGTAAAAACATGACGAAACACATTTGAAATGTATCGTACCTGTCCCGAGTTTCACTGGCATTTAAAATCACTCGTCCCACATTTGGTTTGTTTTTGGATCTTTACTGTACATATTTATGGGAATATTAAAGAAAAAACAATAAAAAAAACAATCATTTGGTTTTATAGAGTAACAAAGATAATGATAGTAATTTTGATATATTCAAAAACGACTATTGAATTTCAAGATTTAGAGTGACAGCTCCAATTGCATTTTCTATAGGTGTCAATATTACCATAACTAATCCTGATGTAAGTGTTGTTGTAATCATGTTCACGGTTATTTTTTTTATTTTAATTTTTTTCTTGCGATAAGCAAAAAGGGCCCACTTTTGGCTGTGTAACAAAGAAACAAAAAAACACAAAAAAAGGTGATAAAAACTGTTGTCAGGTGTGGTGTGTTCAAGGTCTTAATGATTATTAATAAGGGATTATTGATAATTGTTGATGATTTATTTTGTATGTGTGTCAAGCGGTAAAGTCTAGTTATATTACCACTTCTTTCTTTTTTTTTCATTTTTAGACTGAATTTCAGAGACACTCTTACAACAACACCCTGCTATTCACGTGAACACAGACCTCTTCTGGACTCTCATAGAGGAAAAAAAAATTGGCCACTGGAATGTAAACGCTGGTTTTCCTTTTTTATTTGTTTTCAGGGTAAAGTTGAGAATTTGACTGCTGAAGGGTGCAGCATGCAATCAGTATGTTTAAAAAAGAAAAAAAGAAGAAAGTTTTAAAGTGTGCGGAGGAGGAAGTGAAAGGACGGGCCTCGACCGAGCTGCTGTGGAGGTGCGCCCTCTGGTGCCGGCACAGCAGCAGTGACAGCAGCAGCCCGTCCACACGGATCAATAAGACCCATCAGTGTTTGGTGTGACGCCCACAGAGGGTCTCGTGGGCGGACATTTACTTGAAGAAGATCAGAAATAACTTTTTTGTTTCTGTTTTTTTTTTTTTTTAATTATTATTGTTACTTTATTTAAAAAAATGGAAAAAAGGATAATCACCCTGCTGTTTGTATGACTCAGAAACACCAGCTCAAGACAATTCCCTGTATAACCTACTACTTTATGCTTGGTTGGAATCTCAGTGCATGCATAAACTCCTTATATAAACTAAGACTGGTGGATTGGAGACGGCCGTTGTGTGTGGGAACATCAGTGTGACTGTGTTTTTAGACCGGCTGTCAGGGGTTTCGGTGAGAGGCAGGGGAGTCTCGGTTCCCGTGGCGAGCCCTGGATGAAGGAGAATGAGGATTGAACACATGCTCGGCGGTGCTTTGCAGAGATTTTGGGGGGAGGGTGTTGAAATTCTTATTAAATATTCAAGTCAAGCAATTCCAAGCTTGAGGAAGGAGAGGAATAAGGGTCTTAACACATGTACTGGAAAAGAAATGGGGTGCTTTAAAAAAGTAATTAAAAAAAAGATAATAAATTGATATTAACACATTAACTTGTCTTGATTTGATTTCTGGTTTTCACGTAACTTTTAAGTATCTGGAAAAACGGGCCTAAATGATCTTAGTTTCAGTTTCTAAAGTGTGAATATTTTCTGTTTTTGAAGATATGGCAAAGAACATCTGTCAGTGTTTTTAAATATTTTTTAGGCAGTAGGGGACTGAAAATATGGAGGACCAAAATTTAACTTTTGTTTTTAAATGACTGTAACTAAATTGGTATCATCAGTTAGTCTTTCAAATGACATGTTTTTATTTGCGTTTGAATTTACCCATTTATTTATTTAATGTTATTTATCAATGTATTTTTATTTTTTAAATAAAATCCAAGTTTTCAATGTAATTCCTATGTATCATTTTTCCAATTTTAATATTTACATTCTGCAGTTAGTCTTTATATAGAAAAAGCTCAGGTTTTTGCTGATCAACAAACCTTCTAGTGTAATGATGGCACTGTTTTTAAATTGGACAGACCATACATATATGTGTGTATGTATATAATATTATTACAAATATTTATTTGTAATAATATTTTGTTAGTTTTTTAATTTAATGCATTTTTTTCATTGGCATACTTGGTCCTCCATATGCCCAGTTAAAGTCCCCCTCTTTAAAATTCAGGGTCTCATATTATTTTATTCATTTAGACATCACTAATTATACATAACTGAAGATGGACCCTTTATTCTTACACTTACCAGTGATCCTAGTGATTTTCTGGGCTCCTTAGTTTAAAATGAAAGGATTTCCCTATGATGATGACGCAAACTTTTCTAATTATCTATAATATATTCGTTTTATAAAAATAAGTCAAGTCAAATATTCAAATCCTTTTAATTGTTATTTTTCCCCCTAAGCAGACAAATGCTTCGCTAAACAATTACTCTCGTCCATTGTGTTCATATCCTGAACACAACAGCTATTTGTCCTCCACTGTATCTCTGACATCATTAGCCTGACTGGGAGGATCTGTGCGCACTGCCCTTTAAGATGCGTCTGTCATCGCTCCGTTAATGGAAAGTCACTCCGGCTGTTTTCTGCGGTGCAGATCTGTTCAGTAAGGGCCTGGCTGGAGGAAGGCGGGGAGAAAAAAACACGCACGAGTGGATTTTGTGTCGGCCGAAAACCCAGGAAGGAAGCGGGAGAAGGGACAGGGCTCCGCCGAGAGAGACGGAAATGAGAGGGGGGTGTCCAAAGAGGAAACCCTATCCCTTTAAGAGCAAGTGGGACATAGCGGTGCGAGAAAAGGAGAGGAGGGGGAGAAGAAAGAGGAATTAAAAAAGAAAAGGAAGAAAGAGACAGGGAGGGAGGAGGGAGAGCGGGCGATAAAAAAAGAAAGATGACATCCTCGCAGCTGAACGGCCGAGGTGGAGCGATAGGCTGCGGCCCGGCGAGAGCACCGCTCGCCGGGGTCAGGGCTTGAATCCAACAGCGAGGCTTCGACAAACACCCGATTGGCCTATTTGGGGGGAAATCGGAAAAAAAATATTTGGATTCATAAATTAAAAACAAAGCATGACCTGCTGTGCTGCCAGATACGTGTGTTATAACCCATATTTGTTCTTTTGCGTAAAAATACGCATTTATTTCACGCAGGTTGGCTTATTGTTTGTTGCTAAAGTGTGATACTGTGAGATGCGAGGTTTTTTGTTTTTTTGCTTCTTTTTTTCTGGAAGTAGTTTGGACTGTGTGATCCTGCGCTTCAGTGAGACTGCTGTTTAAATTAATTAAAGTTAGAAACCAAAGTCAAAGAGAGAAACGGGCTGTTATTGGCCTGGCCTGCTCCACCACTGCCTGTGTACCGCAGCGTGCGTTAGTCAACAGCTGCGTGCATTTTAATCGTCAGCACTAGGCTACCTCAATGAGAGAAACATATTTTTGCAGACGGCTTTTTTCGCGTTTTTCCAGAGGACCCGGGAGCCCGGCGTTTCTGCTGCCGGACAGGCGGCTGTTTGCGCCCCGATCAGCGGCGGGCCGACCCGAAGAAAGCGATGCAAAGACCGCTCTCCTCGATCTCAATCCAGAGCTGACTTTCTAATCTCCATCGCTGTGGCGCAAAATGGATGCTGCTTGGAGCAATTTTCTCTTCCAGGTAGGCCTCTCTCTTTCCTCTTTGCTCTGCTTTCACTTTAACAGCTCGCGTGCTGTCGCGCAGGCCTCCCCCTCTCTCTCCCTCTGTCTGTCTCTCAGTGTGGGTCCACAGCTGTCCTGCAGCCCTCACTTCTTGCATTTACTACACCGCACTCTTGGAGAAGATATAGCTGTGACTTGTGTTTACATTTGGTGATGGCCTTCTCCTTTGCTTCTCCAGAGTACTCCCACTCAAAACCAAGTGGAGGGGAGCCTCCAATCAGAGCTCTTGCCAGTTCATACGAGTTCTCCCCAGACCCCACCCACAGAGCACATAGCACAGCCTCCTTCAACTGTGGACACCACTGCTCTCAGTGAGGAACCTCTGCCTGGTAAGGGGACACTGCACTCTTAAACACCTGTGGAGCTGAGAAAAAGTGTTTGTGAAAAGACCGGACACAGCGAGGCAGATGATGGCCACAAAAATTTGAATCTCTTAAAATAGCCGAGTACTGAAACGTGCAAATGCAAATGGAAGCGAATGAACCACTTGTGTGGTCTAAAAAATGTAAAAAGTGTACAGGTCACTCATGGATTATCAGGTACAGGTGAATGACACAGTGTAGAGCATCTCAGCATCGCTATGACAACAGCATGAAGAATATCAACTCCTACACTGGTGATCAGAGCAGGATTGTGTAGTTTATGAATAATGTGTATTTATTTTTGCTATCATAGAAAGCAGCTAAATTTCTTTAATCCTACCAAGCCTGAGCCATGAAGCTCTTCAGCACATCGTCTTCACTTGTGTGCCAGCAGAAAAATAAGAAATATGGAGCACTGACCACCACATCCCCATCTGTCACTCGGATAATAAGTCACCCTCCCAAAATGTGAATATTTTCGATTATACGTGTCATCTGTGGTCGATAAGAGAATATCTTTGAGGTTTAGAGTGTCTGAAGAACTCATTTCTGAATGGACTTTAATCTCATCAGAATAGTTAATGCAATGGTCACTATAGTAACAGCCCTGCGCAATATATCAATCATATCAGCCAGTCATTTTAATAGCTAACCAGTTAGTTATGTAAGCTAAAAAAAAGTTTAAAATTTTTTTCTATTACATCTTCTTAAGATGGACTTTTCTGCTTTGGACTTTTTTTTTTTTTTTTTGACTAGTTGACCTTCCAGAGGTTTATATTTAGACCGGCCACATACTCTGTATGTATCTGTTTTCCTGCAGGATGCCTTAAAGGATCATATAAAGCATCAAAAATTAACATCTTTCTTTCTTTCTTTTTTCCATCATCTGTCTTTCCTCACACCTCCCTCGGCTCCAGTGAAGCCCGTGTCTCGGCCAGCTCGCGTGCAACACATCTGTGCCATCTGCAACAAGCAGTTCAAGAACAACTACAACCTGCGGCGGCACCAGTCGGTCCACACTGGGGTACGCATGAAGGACAGGGCCAGAGAGCAGGCGGAGGGAGCAAAGGAGAGAGCTGCCAGCCAGGTGGTGGCGGCGGCGGCGGACCCGTCGGCAATGGCGGTGGGGGCCGGAGGGAGGGCGGAGAGGCCCCATGTTCCCCTCTCCCTGCTGCACCTCTCCGCGCCTCCCCCTCTCGCCCCTCCCGGTGTGCTGGCGGGCGTTCAGCAGCCTCCCCTGGGTGGTCAGGATTGTGAAGGGGTGGCCATGCCAAACGTAATGGCTAGTGTTAACCCTCATGCTCCGCCTCCTGCTGCTGTCGTCATGGCCACAGGGGCGGCAGTACAGGTGGGTCAGGGCCTTGTGGAGATGGCTGTCGTCAACCCCGAACCTTCAAGCATGTTGTTTCTTAAGCTGCCTGACCGGAGGGATGGTTAAGACGTCTTCTCCCCGCGAGCAGCTGTCCGTGTGTCACCTGCTTTGTATTTGATTCAAATTCCCCAGTTTCTCACATTTTCCATAAAGCCCAGGAACAGAAATCCGTTAAGGGACCAGTAAATTCCATCCCAGTGTTTGGCACTGGTCCCTCAGTTTGAGAAACACTGTGCTTGGAAGCCTCCCCCATGCTCCCCTGCATGTTCTCTGTAACACAAACAGTGTGAAAGTGGCTAAATGTTTTGCACAAATAGTGAAAACTTTGCACAACCCACACTTAATTGGCAAAATCTCAGCGTGCATCTTGCATGGTTTCCACATAAGAAACAGGGCAGCCAACAATGAACGCATTTCTTTTCACAGTGCAGCAGCGAAAAGCTTAACGTCTGAACTCTGTAGTGTGCTTATCTTGTCTGCTTTGCCTCAGCGGCCCACGAACCCCAACCCCAACCCCGTGAGGAAGAACCACGCCTGCGAGACGTGCGGGAAGGCCTTCAGAGACGTCTACCATCTCAACCGTCACCGCCTGTCCCACTCAGACGAGAAGCCGTTCTCCTGTCCCATCTGCCAGCAGCGCTTCAAGAGGAAGGACCGCATGAGCCACCACGTGCGCTCCCACCAGGGCGGCGTGGAGAAACCCTACATTTGCCCCCACTGTGGAAAGGCTTTCTCCAGGTAATGCAGCAGAACGAATGTTCCCGACACACTTGCGGCACGTGAAGAATTTCCTGCTCTGACGTGTTTCTCTGTTCTTTCTCTGCTCCCAAGGCCCGACCACCTCAATAGTCACGTCAGACAGGTGCACTCCTCGGAACGACCCTTCAAATGCCCCGTAAGTCACAATTATCTCGTGTTTTATCTTCACTTTACTTTACACGTTTAGTCACTTCACTGTGTGCATAGTGTTCCTCTTACACATTGCAGTGCTTTTATATTTTCAGCTTATATATTGCAGACAGACACGAGTATATGAACAATGAGAATATTACCATGGAAACCGATGTGGATAAAGTACATATGTATCTTAATCAGATATGTAGGCATAACATTTATTTAACATTATTGTGAACATTATGCCTACATGCAGCACAACTGAAGCTGGATATTTACACAAGCAAGATCAGCATGTCTCATCGCACACTTGTGTGTTTATGTACATGTGCGTCTACATGCGTCATACATAAAGATGTGAACTACAGATCTTTGAACTTTCGTTAACTTAAATTTGATAAATATTGGTTTATCAACTATATGATGACGAACCGTGACAGTAAAAATGATAAAACTCTTTCACACAGATACACACGGACTTATTAGACTGTGGATCACTCACACAGTCCAATATAAATATATATATATAAATATAAATATGCAGCCATCATGACACTGAAGTTATGAAATTCTCTTTTACTGTATCATTGTATGATCAACAGAACAAAATCTTGCATAACAATTTTTTTTTTGCACTTATTGAGGGGTGAGAGTCTCTGTGCTGAGTGTAGTAGCAGTCATTACATAGTTCACGTGGCCCTTTAAACATACATAGATTTATCTGTTTATTTATTTATAAAAAATAACTTTTACCACTGCTGTTTTTTAATTTTTGTTATTATGATTAAGTAAATTAGCTTACCAACAGTACAAACAGACCAAATAATCATATGCTATGGGCATGCGCTAACTGTATAAAAAAGATGGAGTTAGCTGCTGACATCACAGTGGCTTGTGAAGCCCTCTTTGAAGTCTCAATTCTGACATCATGACTGTCACCATCCTGTGGGTTTTTGTTTTTGTTTTTTTTACAGCCTGAAGTGAACATGTTTGGATAAGAGGCCAAAGTGCTAAGTTGCTAGCTAACGCAAGATAGCAAACAGATACCCACTAATAACTGCTAAGTAAAGAATTTTACTCACCAAAACTGGAGCTTAGGCTTCTTGAACAGGCTGTTAGGTCCATTAACCACAAAGCAAAGCATAGTATTTGTCTGATAAATGCCCTGGAAATCTTTAAAATGTCAAAAGCACCCCAAAGAAATTAGCTGTGGTACAGTGGCGCTAACAGCTACAGCTTCCTATGTCAGCATTAGCAGTGTAAACATTGTTTTGGACATATATTGATCCTGAAAAGGTAAAATAGCTGTAGAACCTAAACACTTTAAACAAATGTATTTCTTCTGTAAAGAAAGTCTGATGCCTGAAACCGTGCATTAGTGACGAACAGTGTGCGGAATTCATTTGTGGGTTTTCAAATATGTGCAGCTGTCACTAAGATTTTGTGGTGTGCAAAACATAATATTGTAAAACCTCACTTTAAAAATTGTAGTTTGCGAAAAGTTTTGCCATCATATTGTCATATTGCTTTCTTGTTTTTTCAGACATGTGAGTCCAGTTTCGCTACTAAGGATCGTTTGCGTGCACATATGATTCGCCACGAAGAGAAGGTGCCCTGCCACATCTGTGGGAAGCTCCTGTCAGCTGCTTACATCACAGATCACATGAGAGTGCACAACCAGTCGCAGCACCACTCATGCCATCTCTGTAACCGCAGTAAGTACAGGTGTTTTATTGCACTACATTCAATATAAATTGCATTTTGAGGGAGGAAACACGGACATTAAAGCAGACATAGCTTTAGGGATGAAACAGAAACTGTGCACTCTGTAGTAAAAATGTCAAAAACAAAAAGACCACAGTGCACCTGGCTTAACCTTTTTTACTCTTTTGTTCTTGCTTTGTGTGAAAGATGAAGAAAAAACAGAGAAAAGGATCATTTATCTTGCTCTGCCTGAAGAAAACAAAATCAATCTACCATCACCGCTATAGCACGCGCTTATGTGCTGCACTATTTCCTGGCTGAGTGCTGCAAATGCCTGAAGTCACAGCTGTTTGTTCAGCAGTTTTACTGCGATAGCAAACCTCCAGAATGTTTCAGAGAAAGAGTCCAGTGACTTTGAACGTGGCATGATTTTTAGTGCCAGACCTGAGTATTTCAAAAACTGCTGATCTGCTGGGATCAAAACCATCTTTGGGGTTTACAAAGAACAGTCTATAAAATATCCGGTCATGAGCAGTTCTCTGGATGACTGCGTTGAGCTGATAGGAAGGCAACAGTAACTCAGATAACTTCTTATTACAACCAAGTTATGCAGAAGTAAAGCAGAGTATTGATTTCTCCTGCAACATGGTGGGGTCAGAATTTGGAATAAGCTTCATAAAAGCATGGCTCAGTCCTATGGCCATGAGCCATAAAAGCATGGTTCATGACTCAGTCCTTATATCAGTGGTGGTGATGGTGCACTGGTGCGTCAGATATTTTCTTGGCACACTTTGAATCTCTTAGAACAAAGTCTCAGAGGAATGTTTCCAGCACCTTGTTGAATCTTTGCCAGGAGTACAACCCAGTACTAGCAAGGTGTACCTAACAATGTGGCCAGTTGACTCTTGTTGCATAACATTTAACTGAAAAGTGTCCATATAAACTTCACACAGAAGGCCCCGGCCAGATGGTGGAGTCGAACTCAGGACATTCTTGCGGTGACAAGTGTATTTGTAAAATTTCAGACTGTTAACATGAGGTTCCAACATCAGTATTTGATATTTATTTAGTGTCCAATCACATTTACACACTCGTTCTTTCACTTATGACCGTTTACATATTTAAATATGGTATTATAATAACATGGTAGCACTGTGGTTGGCAGGCTTGGGTCAGGGGAGTCTTGCAAAAGAGAAAAAAATAAAACCTTGAGTTTTTAATTTGTCGTTTTATGAGCTTGCTGCATTGTTTCGTTTGTGCTTGGATCTCAATTGCATCATCTCTCGCTGAAGTAACGCTTCTCGGCTCTCTCCCTCTCACCCATCAGGCTTCACCACACTGACGTACCTTCGTGTCCACGCTCAGAAGCACCACGGCCAGGAGTGGAAGGACAGCCCGGGGGGCTTTGGCGGCAGCGCCTCTGGCGGCATGCTCGTCTGTCACTTGTGTGGCGTCCACTGCAAGACGCCCACCCAGCTCCAGGGTCACATGGGCACCCACACCAACAACCAGGCCGCCCAGAACCCCGTCACCTCTAATGTGGCTGCCAGCAGCTCAATCACCCTTAGCAACATGGTGACAGCACCCACCGTCTACGTCACCGGTAATACGGTGGTGGACCTGCTCGTCACAGACTGCTCTAGCATTGCAGCACCGCAACCCCAAAGTTAGCAGTAGAGAGCTCATCAGCAATAACCCCTGTCCTTCAGCAGAGGGCAAGGTCAGAGACGGTTGGAGTTACTCGTAGATGCTGATCCGATTTTAGTTTTGTCACATCTCCACTCACGGGTAAGGTTAGGATGAAGAGTTGAGGTTGAGATTAACACCAGTCAGTGCTCAAGGGCAGTTTAACCTCAGAGTTGCAGAGCTGAGGCACCAGAGAAAAGGAGAAAATGGAGGAGCCGGGGAGGGGGGCAGACAAAAGGACATTTGTAGCTGCAGGAGGTTCAGTGACACTAACGACAAACGTGGATGTGTTGTCCAGATATTTCCGAGTGCTCTTGTACGTTTAAAACTCCAATGAAACTGTGGTATTGTGAGCATCTACTGTATCACTCTCCTCTCTCTTTCCTCTCTCTCTGTCTCTTCCCTCGACCCCGGCGTCGGCTGCTCTCTGCAAGCGCACCAAGTACTGTATGTATATCTCACACCAGCTCTGATCTTACCTCCATTTTGCAGCTCACTTACTAAGAATCCAAAAGGCTTGCGTTTAAAATAAGTAAAGAAAAAAAGTAGCAGGGAGAGAGCAACTCCCAGAAAATAAAACGAAGAATCGGTTTAGAGGGGAGGTCGCGTGGATGGGTGCGCGGAAGTCTCGGCTCGACTCGCATGTTGGCTTGTATTTTGTTTTATTTCATTTGCTTTTTTTCAGAGAATTAACTTTTGATTTGAAGCGGCGATGATCGTTTCTTTAAGTCTCTTTGATTCGGATGTTTGTAGATCGGGACAGAAGACGGCATGCATTCGTGGGATGTACTTTATTCATTTGTCTCCATAAAGGTACAGAGATGACGAGAGAGTTGCGTTCAGCACCGTCAAGCACCTTAAACTTGTTATTGCTGGATTCCGTAAAGGATCGAAGTGGGTTTAAGATTTCTTGGATTTTTCTCGCTCTCAGTCTTCCTCTCTGGGTCTAGCCTTTGAAATTTAAAAAAAAAAAGAAAAGAAAAAGCAAGAAACAACTGCTAACAAACACTTCAGCTTCTGACATGGCGAAATCTTGCACCTGAGAACTACCTTTTTGCATGAAAACAAGCTAGCTCAGTCATGCGTATTGTTAGGGAGCTGTGATGACAAAAGAAACTTTTCAGCAGTTCCACTAAGTAAGTTAGTTGGCTGTAAACAATAATATTTATAAAAGTGTTGATTTCATTCAGACATTTTTAACATTGTTGGCCATTCATTTGATTGTATCGCCACAGTCCTTTTGTTTTCTCTATGTACCAGTCCAATGAGTGAAACTTATGCATTAGATTTAGTCATTTAACCCTCTGTATAGCACATAATGTTTCGAACACGTCATTTTGCATTAATCATGTGAAGAATGGACTTTTTTTTTGAGTTATATTGTGGGTGATTGAGTGGTGTTGAAAGGGCTTCTAAAGTCACAAGTTGGAGTTTGATGACATAAGTCGGAATTTGCTGTAAACTAAATCCTGGTTTCGTACTGGAGCGAGTTTTCAGTTTTGTGTTGATACGTTATCTCGAGATTCATAGAGTTCTTTTCACCTTTTTTTTTCTTCCTTTTTCTTTTCCTTTGGAAATACGTTCTTCCTGTTGAGAAAATTAGTGAATTACTAAAAGTTAATTTTTAGCTTTTCTCCATTACATTAAGAAAAAAAAAGTAATACCTCTACTCTAGGATTCTGTACAGCTCTTGTGATACATCTTAATGCCTTATCGTACTCAACTGCATTTTAATTCTTTTATGATAAAATATTTCAAATCTTAGTCATGGATTCATTAAGAATATTAATGGGATGTATTTATATTTATATTTTTATATTTCTCAACAGTATGCATGTCTAAAAGGTTGTTAGAGCAAAAAAAAAATATCAATGATGCTTACTACAGTCATAAATATTATGTTATTTTGTAGATGCAGTAGAGTTCATGTTATTATTTTGTAATTTGGACAATTTAAATTAAAAAGAGTAAATGGGCACTGGTTTGTGGGCTGATCCTTTCTCCGACCGTGTAAGACGATCGTCCATCCATCTCGGTCCCGGTAGGGCCTGGAGCCTCTTTCAATAGATACTGAGTAAATGGCAGGGTACATGCAGGACAGGTCTCTACTCCATCACAGGGCTAACTCAGAGAGACAGGCAATCATTCACACCCCCGCCAACTAACCTAACGTGCATGTCTTTGGACTGTGAGAAGAAGCCAAAGCAGCCACAGGGAGAACAAAACCTTCTGCTGTGAGGTGGCGGTGCTAACCACAATGGCACCACTGATAAGAATATTAATAATGAGAGTCTTCAGTTTAGTATTTCACATTGAAATACACATTAAGTAGCCTATTAAACATAAATGATGCATAATTTGGTCTGCAAAGTACAAAGGTTGAGTAAGGGAAGGCAGTTAAAAGGATTATAGTAGTGTAGTGCTGTCTGATTACATGCTAAAGTTGCACATATTGATCATTTGAGACCATAAATCTTTACCCATTCATTTATTTCTTCATAGCTGGGCAATTTACAATGCAGGATACTAGTGCTGATTTTAATTGAAGACACGACAACTAAATTGAGTAAAAGGTTTTCGTATAACATTCCAACAGGCAGCTATACATTAGGGATTTCTTTTGTATCAGGAATGTCCTAAAATGTCAGGTTTCACTGTGGGAAAAAGGGATAATGTTAGTAAAAGTCCATACAGCAGCACCAATTTGGATACTGGATAAAGCCAGCTTTAAAATTCTTTGACATTTTTCACTTAAAATTAATCAGAAAATATTGATGACAAGAAAAAAAGTTTTAGCATGTTTTCAGAAAAGAGAGAAAATATCCAGTGAGCAGCAGTTCTCTGGGTGACAATACCTTGCTGATGTAAGAGGAGAACAGCCAGACTGCTTTGAGTTGAGTGGAAGGTAAGAGTAACTCAAACAACCACTTCTTACAAAGTACAACACAGCAAACCTTGAAGCAGATGAAAAAAAACACACCAGAGGCCACTCCTGTCAGCTAAGAACAGGAAACTGAGGCTACAATATGCATGGGCTCACCAAAACTGGTAAATGGAAGATTTGAAAGATGTTGACTGATAAAAACATGGATCCATCCTGCCGTGGATCAACGCTTCAGGCTGCTGGTGGTGTATGATGTATGATGACGCAGCAGCGCCTCTTCTTTCTCAGGAGACTGAAAAGATTCGGCATGAGCCCCCGCATCCTCAGGA